ATATCTGATAATTCACTTTTTGTATATTTTCTAAATTTGAAGACAATTAAACAAACGTGATTATTGCAACATTTGCTGTACATTAGAGAAGGCAGCCAATCATTACAATTGTTGTTATTCCTCCTCAGCTCGTGGTCTGGACATCCCTTCCATCCGCACTGTGGTGAACTACGATGTGGCACGAGACATCGACACACACACGCACAGGATTGGTCGAACAGGTCGTGCTGGAGAGAAGGGTGTAGCTTACACTCTTCTTACCAACAAAGACACCACATTCGCTGGAGACCTTGTGAGAAATCTGGAGGGAGCGAATCAATCTGTTTCTAAAGAACTGATGGATTTAGCCATGCAGGTGAGATAAATAAGTTGAGGAATAAGAAAAGTTTTACATTTATTACCCTAAACATGTTGTATTTTTTGAGGTGGAATAATTTTTCTCTATTGTTTCTCAGAATCCATGGTTTAGGAAATCCAGATTCAAGGGGGGTAAAGGAAAGAGGCCAAATATTGGAGGAGGTGGTCTTGGTTACAGAGAGAGACCAGGCTTGGGGGCTGAAAGTTCTGTAAGTTATTGATTACTGAACTGCAAATCTGCTTGTCATGGTCACAATCATTATTCTATTCTGTAAAAAAATAAACAAACAATTATTTCCTACTGAACATCTGAACTCTGTCCATCTGACAGTATCAGAAAACTCAATGATGGCTAAGATACTTCCTCTCGATTGATAAAACTCTGAGTAATGCTTTGGTGTGTTTGCAGGAACGTAGCAGCAGCAGCAGCTTGTTGTCTTCCGCTAGCAGCTTTGAGGGCTACAGCAAACCAGCTACTGGGGCGATGGGGGACCGCATGTCTGCAATGAAACAAGCCTTCCAGGTAGAATTCTTTTCCACTGAATACATTTTCAAGGTTGTCTTTTCCCTACTTAGACTTTACACATGTGCTGAAATTATTTTATAAGAAGCTTTTGGGTTTTTTTATATACCTGCTTATTATTTCCATATTTGTCAACCACATCATGTTTGCTGCATCCTGTTTTCAATTGCAAATGTGCACTCACAGCTATTAAAAAAAGCACGAAATCCAAAATGAATTGCTTAAGAAAAGACTGACATTTTAAAACCTGGGTGAAAAGATTCACAGTCCTGTCACCAACCTGAAGAGATATTTTGATTGTTTGATGTTACCAGGCAGTGAAATCTTTACTTTGAACCTTCATCACGCCTTGTTTTTCCCTCAGGCAGCTAATATCTCCTTCTCAATGCTTCCTCCTCATCTAGGCTCAGTATAAAAGCCACTTTGTGGCAGCGTCCAGCGGCCCTCCTAAGCTCAGCACAAAGTCTAACAGCTCGTCATGCTGGACCAGTGCTGGCAGTCTGAGCTCTGTGCCGACAGAGGCTGCTAATGGCTCAGAGAGGTCCCACTGTGCCACCTTGTCAATGTCCAACTTCACCAGTGCAGGCACCCTGAGCTCAGTGCCCACCAGTCAAACCAGTTCACAGCACAGCTTCCCTCAGCCTCTGCCTCCACCTCCGCCTCCACCTCCCTCACAGAGAGACGGCTCACGGGACAGACACAGTGAAGACCGTGGGCGCCATGGGGACAGTCACCACCGCCACAGTGACAGGAGCGACCGGCACAGCGGTGACGATCGCCACAGCGACCGAGATCGCCACGGAGACCGAGATCGTGACCGCTACGGAGACCGGGATCGCCACAGCAGCAGCCGCCACAGCGACAGTCGTAACGGAGATGGGAGCAGGAGGGAAAGAGATGAGAGGAGGAGCGACAGAGACGGGGGAGACAGGGGGAGTGGGGAGGGAAGGGACAGGGAAGATGATAGCTTTGCTGTTCCTGAACCACCAAAACGTAGAAAGAGCAGGTGGGACAACTAAAAAAAAAGAAAGCAAAAATTTACACATCCGTAGAATAATTCATGCAACAACTGCTCCAGGACAAGCTTGTCTGTGTAGGCAGAGAGCAGAGCATATCAGAGGCTAGTGCAGGCACAAGGCTGGAGGAGTAGGTTTACTGACGCCAGTGTCAATTTGACCTCAGTGTCAGAAAGATCAACACAAGCAGCTCAGAGACAGCCACTGTACATACACCATCAAGACTGTTGTTATTATAAGTCAATAGGATCAAGCAATAGAGCTGTAATGAATCCTGTCAGTGAACAATTCAAAGTAAGGACATGTTGGTTGTTGTCTTGTTTCTACTCACTGAGCTCCTAATATACTTCTGTGCTTGCAAACCTGACACATTTTCTTTTCCTTTAATGAATTTTTGCCAAGTGTGTTTGTGTGTTTGCATTTTCTTTATCTACAAAGCTAACTGTTAGAACCGTTTAATTTTTTTCTAAAACGCTCTGTGACGATGTACATTCACACAAGTACATTTAAAAAAAACTATCAGTAGCTTTTTTTTGTGTCTTGTATTCCAGTTTTAGTGAAGTGCCTTTCCCTGGCATTTAGTCTGTCTGCTTTTGAAATGTGTCTTCAGGAACTTTTGTTTGTATGAGAGGGGTTTCAAGTGTTCAAATGAAAAATGGGAAGTTTTAATTAAAAACACTTCTCTTGCATCTATTTTTGTGTTATTTCTGTCACAATCTATGTCAGCCTTTCTGTCCAATCATAGAAAACAATTGTACATTAAATAAATGTACATGAGTGGGGCCCAGAGATGTTTCTGATCTCTGAACCTTTTTTTACTTTTCAATTTTACAGCTGTTTTTTTATGGCTGATATGGTTTTATTGGAATTTATGACAGCACAAAAGATGTGAGGACTGATTTAAAACAAGGGACTATACCTGAGAACAAATAACTACATGTATTAAGTTCAGCACCAAAAGTTATATCTGTTGTGAACAAATAAACTGATAATAAGCTATGAATAAAAACAACGTCCGAACCACATAAAAAATAGAATGTTAAGAAACATTATCTGAAGCTTTTGAAATTTGCTTCACAGACCCCTGACCTGAACATCACTGAACATCTGTGGGTAGATCTTAAACATGGTGTCTGTGTTCTGCTGCTGACACCTGACCTCTCTCAAAGGTTTAAGTGAACTGCCAGATAAATGAGTAAAAATTCCTAAATGAAGAAAGGAAAGTCTCTCAGCTGGATACAAATAACTTTTTCAAGCTGTGATGCCAGCCAAAGGGCAGTTACCTCGTAGGGTGCAGGCTTTATTTTGAATGTCTTTTTGCTTCAGGGGATTTTTTTTCTTTTCAATTGCTCACACCTATATTTAGTGTAAAACAGTGAAGATGCCCTGTGGCATGGGAGGGCAGAATATAAATTAATACATCATAAAAATGCAAGCAAAATATTATTTTAGTGATAGATAATATAGTAGTTTTTAAATTTTACATGAAAAAGCCACCTACATTCAGCAGATTTAGGAAGGATAGATTCAATTCAATTTTATTTATATAGCGCCAATTCATAATTTACATTATCTCAAGGYACTTTACATTTAAAGGTCAAGACCTTAAAACAATATTAACRTAGAGAAACCCAACAGTTCCCACAATGWGCAAGCACAGGCGACTGTGGAGAGGAAAAACTCCCTCATTAACAGGGAGAAACCTCTGGCAGAACCAGGCTCAATGTGGGCRGTCATCTGCCTCGACCGGTTGGGGTGAGGAAAGAAAAGTAAGGGGGGAGGAAAGGAGAGATGGCTGGAAAGCTGGGGAGAGAAGAGAGAGATGAGTTGGAGAGAGAGACCGGGAACAGTCGGGCACCATCAGTATCAGGGCTGACTATAACAATAACAATGTAGTGATCTACAACAGGATTATATATATTAATGAATTACTGATTTGTTGTAATTAATGATAGCAATGGTGATGCTAGTCGTTGTTGTCCTGCAGTCCCGGTGCCAGATCACTAATATCCGGCCAAAAGTATTCTTCACTAAAAAAACAAAATAGGATAAACATTTCTGCAACAGGAAAAACGAAAAAACTTAAACGTAGGAAAAATGCACTTGATTTTGTGGTTTGGACAGTTTGAGAGCGATATTGGGAGGAATGATATCAGGAGGCCAGACCAATGTCCTTTTTTATACCAGCACCTGATTAAGAGTATGAACTTATCATTTAACATAAAACCATTTATTATTTATTTATTGAAGTTAACACACATATTACCAAGAACAACACAAAGACTGTTTTGATTGCATTTCATGTCTTTATAATGAAAATATATTAATGAGGTAAAAGGTAAACCTTTGACAATAAAACCTTTGAACTTGAGATTTTAACTCATCAAACAATAAGGAAAAAGTAAAAAACAAATACATACAGACTGTAGGGGACGGAGACGTTAAACAACATATGGTGCAATTTATATGTTTTTCACCATGATTGAAAAGTTTCTAATGGACTTTTTGTTTGTTGAGAAACAGTCTCCTTATCCCTGTTTACATTCTCCTCAACTTCAACTTTCTACTTTATTTGTCCTCAAATGGCAATTTGTGTTTCCAGCCAGGGGTAAAACACATAAGACATAAAAATATAGAAGTAGAAAAACATAAAAACATAATTCAGCTTTTCAACAATTGTATACACACCCTTCCATCCCACCCCACCCACAGTCTAAAGAACAACAACAACAACATCAACAATAACAATAACAACAACAACAATAATAAAAGGTAACATTAACATGTTAATTTAATTAATGGTACTAATATGGGCTTATGAGTCTGAAATAAAACTAAACCGATTTAAACTCTCAACCGATTTAAAAAAAAAACCTTCTTCATCAAACTATAATACAAATACAACAAATGAAGCACATTTCTGTTTTCTTCATCAATACTTCTGTCTCAGGCTGAGACAGAAAAAACAGACAAAACCTCACACAAACAAGACGAAAGCGACACAAAGGACACGACAAACAAAAGAGTGAAATAAACAACAGATCGACTCCAGCAGGAACAAACCGCGATAAGAGCCTCAGAGTGACGTCCTCGTTCCAGACGCAGCGCTTGTTTGTCCGGCAGGCCGTGAACGCACCGGCAGCAGATGAGAACCAATAGGGTTCGACATCCTGCGGGAGAGAGCCGAGAGGAGCAGAGGGTTGAAGAAGCCGAGCAGCGGAGCACACACTCACCGGCCCCGCAGCACCAGCCTCCGCCACCAAGCCTCCGCCACCAAGCCTCACAGAGGAGTGAATGAGAGCGCCCGCATCCACCTCCAGTCCCCGAGTGAACGTGTTTTCCAGCCGGTGTGTCGCAGACGAGCAGCGCAGATGGTGAGTGCCCCTGCTCGGCTGTTGTGTGTCCGCAGCCTCCCCTCCCTTCCCCACTCGCTCCCTCCCCTCCCTCCGCAGCTCCGCTCTCCTCCCGGCTCCTCTTTTCTCTCTGAGCGGAGCTGAGGTGATGATGCGAGGCTTTAGCAAGCCAGCAGCCGGGGTGTTGTGTAAGCCACGGTGTTAATCTTTGATTTAAACACGGTGTTTAAGACACGAGAGGAGATTTAGTTTATTTAAAGCACATCGAATCGCCCGCCGCTGTGCTGGTCTTAATGCTAGCAACGTGCCGCTGGTTAAAACGCCTGTTAGGCAGCTAGCATGGTGGCTAATTAATATTAACCCAAGAGTGTGATTGAAACATACTGAATTATGCATGTAACTCACATTACCCCTGCTTTTCCAACCACCTCTATTACTACCTGGCAATCCTTTGTGTCTGTTTCCTCCAAATTAGCCCTCGTGTTAATTGATATGTGGTTTAATTGTTTTGTTTTTGTGCGAACAATAGCAGATGGATGTGTGTATTTGCAGATTTTAGCTATAGCTGCTGAGTGGTGCGTGTGGTATATCAAGTCCAACACGATCGAGTAGTCTGTGAGAGGGTTTGCACATGATTCAGCCACAGAGACAAAGCGCAAACACAATTAAACAGATAAGCGCATAAACAAAAGCAGAATCGTCTTCTCATGCCACTATTATAATGGAGGCTTTGTTTACAGCACCATTTGATTAGAATATATCCACATATCGAGCTCATCCAGTAGGTTTACACGCAACTCACTATCCCAGTTTCGAGTTTTAACCTGGGGTTGATATATTTACAGGAGGCATGAGAAACCTGGTTATCCATATACCTGTATACATGATCACACCAATCATCCTCACAGTCATTGTAGAACAGTTATCGCAATATCATTTTTATCTGTAGCGATAGAACCAAAGTCCAATATATTGATATAATGCTTATAAAGCTTGGGGAGGTATAATAAATGTCTTCCCTACTTAACATCTTAAGTACAATGTTTTGGCTCTTTTTAAGGGGTTGTCATTTTCTGATGGGTTGATTGGAATAATTTTTTTATCATGATATAAATTCGGCCTAATTCAGCATATTTTATCTACAGGGAGCATGAAAAACCTGGTTATTCATATCCTTGTGTACATGATCCTAACAATCCAATCCATAGTGTCTTGATTCCTCAAACCTCTCAACCAACAGATAGTGTTTACATGCCACAGCATCCAGGTGTAAACTTTATAGTTATACTGCATATACTGCATTTTGTTGCTTTGTACTTGTCACATGTGCAATGACAATAAAGTTGAATCTAATCAATCTAATCTATAGGATACCTGGTGTACATGCAACCACACTCATTTAAAACTTGAAGTGAAATGATCCATTAAATATCCACAGGATCTTCTGACCTCGCTTACAGCTGCTGCGAATAATTCCTGAATGGCTGAGCAACAGGATTATCAACACTAGATCGAAAACTCTACACCGGGTGGGAGAAAACATGTGTTCCACTCTGTCTTATACAAATGTCTTTGTCTGTGTTTGTTTTGTCACATAGTTTAAAAGCTGCTCTGTGGTCGGTTTAAAACCACTTTTTATCCGTCCGGCTAACCACATCAACAGCAGTCTGTCATTATAACCCTGGCATATGGTGACGAGGCTTAAGTAAACACTGTATATGGTGATTTTCATTTCCTGTCACTGTCAGTGGACTGTATTTTCAGTAAGAGTTGAAGGCACAGATTGACACCCTGCTCTGTTGGCTGATTTACGTCAGTGATCTGGTGGATTTCAGAGGCTGTTGTTGTAATTTGACTGACTGTTTCTTCAAAAAAAACAAAAAACATTATGCAGATTGAGAAAAGAACATATAAAACAAAGCTGCACAATTAGGACTAATAACATTTTTATTGTGTGACCATGTGCTCATCTGTCAAACAATTACCATTAACGGCACAAAAACCTTGTTTGCTGGGCATGTTAGAGGCACCATATGTTGGAAGGAGGGGGTGTTCGCCTCCTGTCAGATGTGAAGAACAGTATTAAATGGGTCGCCAGCAGGTCCCGAACCAACGAGCTGCAAGGAAAGGTGTTCAGATAAATTGTTTTTATTGGAAGCATTCTTATCTATTTCTCTCCGATTCATTTATTGTGTTACAATTAGAAGTGGCTATGAGTAATTCATTGCTTTTACGCACATATATAAACTATTCCTCTGTTCAATTTTAAAAGATGCACCACGTTCTGTTTGTCCTCTGGAGTATAAATATCACTTAAGCCTCACTTAAGTCTATATTGAGCTCAGACTCTGAAGGGGAGACTGTAGATTGTAGCTTATTCTGAGTTTGACCTTATTTGGGTTCAGGTAATCAGAAATAGCTGTTTACATGGAAGTGTCTTATTCAACCAGCCAATCTTCTTAATATTGGACTCTTAATATCTCCATCCACAGTTTAAGGACCCTTCAGTTTCACCGTGTGATGGAAATTTTCTGTGATGGCAGAGTAGATACTTGCAGGACAGGGCTTGTCATGTTGAATTCCAGCCCTGAAGGAGAATTTGGTTTATGAGGTGTCCCTCTTCTCTGCTCAGTGATAACATCTGATCAGTTGCAGCACTTGAGGCTATTTTCTTCACAACACTTTCAAAGAGGTTGCAGATGACAGCAAGCCAGTCAACACAGGCTCCAGCTACCCAACGCATTCTTTCACAGGCCGTCACTTGTTTTGTTCTGTGCAATTTTTAAGAAGGAAAAATATAAACAGACCAGCTGCTCACTAAGCACTGGTTTTCATGAACATCATGACCAGCTTCTAGTTCAGGTCCACACATCAGTAACTGTACCTTGATGTTGGCTTTTTTTATTCATGATTGAATCATTAGTATCTGATTTTATGAACTAGAACTGGTCCAGAACCAGTTTTCAGTCTGGTAATGAACAGCTCTTACACAATTTAAGTGATTTGAATTGTGCCCTGAGGTACAAGGAAACACTTGAGGGTTTTCTAGCAAAGACACACAGGTCAAAATGTAAGTCATGGGAGCAAAAGTTGCTGACTACAAAAATCTAAGAAATGCTTTTTGTAGATGTGTGTTTTTCCATCACTTAAACCTTCAGTTCTTCTTTCGACAGAGACAAAGAAACCGTCATAAATACAGTATTTAAAGGTGAAACTAAAAGTCCATCAGTCGATTTTGATAATAAGATCCTGAGTGAAGATTGTATTTTAAGTCTATGGGTGGTTTATAGGGTTTTCATGCTCTGTGTAAATATGATTTCCTGAATAAGGCCCAGTCGATATGGACAAATACAATTTAAGATGAAGATATGTATTGTTAATTACCTTGATAAATGTGACATTGTTTTGTATACGTTTAATAAAAACTGATTTTTGCTCCTGAGTGAAGGTTGTAGTTTTAAACTTCTTTACGGGCAGAGAACTTGTCAATAGGATAATGTTTGGTGAGACAAAAAAAGGCATTTGAAGATTCTGGATATTATACTTTTTACATTTGGCTATTTTCCACATTTTATTTGTCAATTCATTGACAAATAATTACTGTACAGTAATGAATCTCAGAATAAATGATTAGATGCAGCGCAGTTTCTTCACCTCTTTTATGACAATCTTGAAGTGCCTGTAATCCAGTATATATCCATATTTTTAGCTGGACCTGAACTGCCTCTGAAGACAAGACAAAAAAAACAAGTTTCAGTCTTGAGACTCACAGAGGGTCAATACCCTTAAAATGCAACAAAATGCATTGTCTCGTTGCACACAGGAAGTTAGTAAAGGGAAGAGAAGCAGTGTCTGACCAAAAGACCCAACATTCTCACAGATGTGATTAGTCTGCAGACTGGTGAGGTGGATCTGCACGAAAGGAGCAGACAGTTTCACCAGTTCCCCAGTCAGTTTCATGTTGTGCTAATAGTCATTTTTTGCCTCACAGGGAAGTAGTATTCTTTCACATAACTTGCTGTGTCTCTTCATGTTCAGAGTTGCTGATGGAAGACTGCTGCTAAGGCGAGGCTGAATATCTTCCCTGCAGCAGCAGTTTTACTTGTTGAATCAGTGCCATGGCTTCTGGGTCCAGAAAATGTAATGCGTTGTGAAAACAAAAATCCCTAACTGGTTTATTTGCTAGAACTTGCCTGGAAAAATGTTGTTTGTTACAATTGGATTAACAAATGATAGATGGGTTATTTAGCAATTGTTCTTTTTCCATCATCCTATCCCAAAACATTACAAAATGATTGTGTCTCTGAGTTTAAGGTATGAGAAAGAGTGGGAGCCTTGTTTTGGATTAATGACATAAGACGTTTGTTAACATAGCGCCTGCCTTCCCTTCTAGGGGCCTGTTGCAGTGAATCACGTACCATGGTGTGTATTCAGTGATGAGCAAGTGCATGGGAGAGGGAGGGGGTCTCTCTATGGGGCTGATGGGCAGAATACAACAAGATGAAGACGAGAGTCTTCTTCCTATTTGAACTCTTTCACCCTCGTTATAGTCTTTGGAGTTGTTGTAGCTGGTGTAAAAGGCTGTAATTTAGACCAGAGGGGTCTGGATTGTAGTTTTGGTGCCTTTCAAAAAAGCATGTATAGACATTATTTTGAGGTTGCATTTTATAAAGTGCATGCGTGTTGCATATATCTTCAAATTCGTCACCTGTTACGCTTAATATAGATACTTGTCAGAAGGACAGAATTATTTCAGGGGATACCCATGATCTTCAGTGTGCAGTTAAAGCTGCACATATGCATTTTACTGCTTAAATGAATAGTTTGACATTTGCACAATGTACTTATTTGCTTTTTTAAAAGATTTAGATAAGAAGGTTGATACTGCTCTTGTGTCTTAATGGTAAATGTGTAGAGCCAGTCTTGTTTAACCCTAAAAGTGGAACCGGAGGGAGCTGTTAAAGTGGCTCCTGTCGGGGGGTAGTGTCGGAGCCATCGGCTATATCATTCGGCGATGAATTGACCTTTGGGGAAATGGTCAATATTATGAGGCTTCCAGTGTAGACAGTAAATATGTAGGCCAAGACTCCATCTTCTGTTTGTCGTACACTGTTTAGAGTTGGACTAGTTTATTATATCACACACACCAAACAAACTGTGATACTTTTTGTGGGTGTCTTAGGTCCAGACAACATTTTGGCTCATCTCTATTAACAGCTTCCTGCATGAATGCAGAAACATTAAAAGGCTGATAGCTGATGCATGCAGGCAACCAAACCTTGCTCAAACATGATTGGCCAAACTAGAACTGGAAACCAGAAGGCTTCCAACCCATAAATCTTCTCCCTTGCTTACAGATTCTGCAGATTCACATGATGCAGAATTGGATTAGTGAGGGTAAAGCTCAGCGGCTGTAGCTTCATACTGAACGTATAGACATGAAATTTGTACCGAATTTACCCATCTCACTCTTGCACACAAAGCAAATGAGCGTATTTCCCTAAACGAATCCTTTAAACAAATATTAAGAGAAAAGGGCGCTCAATTAGACTGCGGGTTCTTGGAAGATATGCAACATGAACACACACACGGTACACGCCCGGGCTGGCGTGTTCAGGTGTGATGAAAATAAAGCGAGGACTCGATGTGAGGGATTGATGCTGTGAGGTAAGAGCCAAAGCTCTATTGCAACAAGATTTCCCCACTCATGTGAGAGTGTTCTTTGTTTGGTAAGATACAACTCTCTCGCAGGCTCTAGCTTTTCACACTCTGCTATGTCCAATTGCTTCACAGTTAAAGCAGTGCCGGGCATGTCCGAGCTAATTACTTGCACAACAAGTGTTCACATTGAACCCCATGTTCTGCGCTCATGAAGGGGTTTCATTCACCAACACTGTGTGAAAATGAATATTTCTGATCAGTTCATTCTAATGAGGCACTAGTACTGAACAAGTGGTTGTTTATTGGGATGGAAGTAAGTTTGTAGTTTACCTGCTAATACAGCTGACGTTCCTGTCGGGACTCTGCATGACAGAGGAAGTCACATGTGTCATAATGACTTCCTGCCACATTTGTGCTGCTTGGTGGCAACTGAGACTCATGTACATATAAGGCCAAAGAAGACAAGATGACACAAGCTTATCTCAAGCCTGCCAGTGTGTGTGTGGAATGCATGCCTACTCCCTAACTACTCCTAACATGGTAACTAATCTTTGTTTGTTTAAAAACAAATACCAAAAATACATTGGTATTTCTTCTCTTTCTCTATCAGTTTTTCCTTTTTTATACAATTTGATTTCATGATTTCATATGTACAAATATCCTGCTATAGACCTCTTTTACGCGCTCCTGCAGCCTCTCACTGAAGTAAACCTTCTCTACAAATACACAGAGGCAATTTTTCTCAGTCAAACCTGAGTTTTCAACTGTTTTAAATAATTTGGAGAAGATCAGCATTGTGTAGGCTCAGCAGGAAGTGGTGGGTCGAGCGAGCAGCCTGCTAGATAACCGGCTAAGTTTGAGCTGCTAACAGCAACATTAACTGAACTCAAGAGGATCCAGGGATACAGAGTAGGCAGACATGATTGCATCTACAGGAAGCTGCATGGCCTCGCTGTTAATGAGACGATTATTTCTAAAGCACGTCGTCCAGTTCTCATAAGTGCAGAGAACACTCTGCTGTTGCTTTAATGCACCACTCGACAAGATCAAAGTGGTTGCTTACCGCGTCACTGATTGCAAGTAATGTTCAGATAAGGAAATTACTATATACTGTACAACATGAGACAGTATGAAGAGGAACCATCAGATATATTACTATACTCTTTACAGTCTGGTAGCAATGACTAGCATACCCCGGGTTGTTTTTGGTGGGGAGATATGTTGCACATCAGTGAGCCCGACGTCTTTGTTAGCAGTTTTTCGTGGTTAATGTACAGTGACCGTTATGTGCTGACGTCTTCTGAAGAGAAACTATTCATATACCCGGCTTCATAACTTTGTTTTGAAGCAACTTGTGGACTTACTGTAAGGATGTTGTTTGGGTTAGGAAAGAACATATAAAAGTTTGGTGCAGATCTGCATCTGGGGACGAATCCAGGAATCTAACCTTCTTTGACATTTTTGAAATTTTCCCTGATTTCCAAGGGTATAATATGATGAAAGACATTGGTGGAAGCTTGATGAATTTAAGGAGACACATTGACTTCTAGTTTAATAATGTGATAGAAAGCTCAATCCCATTTGTCTGACCCTTATAGTTTTTCAGCCACTTTCCTTCACTTTTAAAAGGAAAGTTTAAAGTTTTTAAATACTTCTCATTGGTCAGTTAATCAGCTTTTGAGCTCAACTCACGTCAGCAGGTCAATATTTTTATGAACAAGGTGGATGCACATACTTTCTGCTATGCATCTGCTTGATTCTTTATTATTTCCTAAAAAGAGTAAGAGCAAGTAGCAGTTATCTGTCAAAGCTCTTGCCATCTTTGCAAGTCTGGTTGCAGTCCCACAATGCCCCTTCATCCACCCCTTCCTCCAGCTCCAGCCAAGTGGCCTTACATAACAGGGTTTTAGCAGAGTCTGCAGTGGACTTTTCCCCCGCATGAACAGAGGCTGCCCTTCTTCCCTGCACACTGGCTTTTCCATGGCGGTTACTGTGCGAGCGTCTGAATGTCTCTGTCTGTTTGTTATCCGCTCGAGCTACCTGTTAGTCCTGCTTAAAGATGAGGCCGTGCTTGTCGCTGCTGGGGACAGGCTGCACATACGCTTACTACTACTCTGTAACTTTGTCCTGCTTGAGAGATCATGGAAGCTTTTCTCTCTCTCCTCTGAACCCTGTCAGTGCCTAAGGGGAAGTATTTTAATTCCTGCTGTCATCGCGAGCCAAACTGCAATTAGAATACAAAAACGGCGACACCTACAGTGTGCACAGAAATGTGGTGGCCTGCGTTAAATGGCAGCCAGCAACATCAAAGGAGAAAACCTACCTATTGGGACTGGGTGACAAACTCTTCATTACATGCATGGAAAGAATGTGAAGTCATTTCACAGATAAAGACTAGCAGAATAAGGGTCAGTCATGTTATTTCACTGAGAAATCTCCCACCATTTTGTAAGATTGCAGGTTATTTTGCCTTGTAAAGTTTCTGAATTAGAAGGCAGGTTCTGAGCTGCTATGTTATGTTGGGAGCAGTGTCATGCTGAGTGTCCCAAAGCGCGGCTCACATGACCAGACAGAAGGCACCTGATCCTTTCCCTGGGGTGCTAAGAGACAGATGGAGCGAATAGAAGTGGAAGGAGAGGTGGAGAGATCAGATTGACAATACTAACAGGCTGGTCAAAGTAAAACGAGGACAGTAGAAAACACCCATCCTTTTGAAGTTCTTCTGTTGCGTGTCATCTGCCTGGATTAGATATGTGGTTCTTTCACCTCATAATTGTTGTTCCATGTAAGAACATAACCAAAGTCTGTACATCTATTTACCTATTAAAATCTGTCTGTCTGTTAAACCCTCTTGAGAACCATCTTGTAAGCTTCACACTAGTGTAAGTGAATTGTTAAGAGCCCAATGAAGTGCAGTGTGGAATCTGGTGTGATTTGGACACATGATACTTTTTATACTAATACATTTTGAACTAGAATGTCACTCAGTAAACTAGATACCTCCAGTCCCCTTAAATTCAATCACGCGGCACAAGATTTTACACACTCATAGAGATCATTCCCCTTAACATGGGGAATGTCTGATCTATTTATTTATTTTTAGGGTTCTGTGGACTGAGTCGAGCAGCAGGTCTTTATTTTGCAGCGGCTCTTTACTGCAGGCCACTTCAACAGTTTCAGAAAGAAAGCTGCAACCAGCATTACTACAGGTCAAGCAAACAGCCCTCTCCAAACAGGCCTTGAACAGGCACCTGCACAAGAGCATTTTAAATACATCTAACATACATATATCTTACACTTTGTTTTTCTTTTTTTTTCCCAGGACACCAGAGGCCCCACTGAAGAGAAACCTGTCCAGCGATCAAAGGTAGAATATACACTGCCTGTCTTCTTTCTCATCCCTCATTCACTGTCCTCTGCTTGTCTGTCTGTTATTATTGTTCCCCCCCACTTCATTTTCATCAGCTTTTGATCTCAGAGAAAAGCAAAGGAAGTCCTTCCTTCATTTTGTGTCTTTTGTAAAAGCGTGGCTTTCATCTCACTGAAGATCAAGGTGAACATCACCTCCTGTTGGTGCATCTGGTAGTAAATTGTGTGTTTGTGTTGCTCAGTCCTTCAGCTTCAAGACCCAAAAGGAAGTCTGTACAACATGTGACAAGACGGTCTACCCAATGGAGAGATTAGTTGCCAACAACCTGGTCTTCCATACGACATGCTTCTGCTGCAAGCACTGCAATGCCAAACTCAGGTGATTATATTCGGTTGTTCACTGTTTCCCTGTGTTTACTTCACTTTGGTTTGTGTATTAACTGTTAAACTCCTCACTTCTCCACAGCCTTGGCTCCTTTGCAGCTCTTCAAGGTGAATTCTACTGCAAACCCCACTTCCAACAGCTGTTCAAAAGCAAAGGCAACTATGACGAGGGCTTTGGGCGCAAACAGCATAAAGAGCTCTGGTCCGGCAAGGACACAGACAATATAACAAAGACGGCATAATCATGTCTCCCTGTGTCCCCCCCTCTGCCTCTTCCTTTGCCTCCTTGTAACTAACACCTCCAGTAAATCACAGTGAACACATGCCTCGTATGCTGGGGCTCTGTTAAATCACCCACACGCTCACTCGCTTTTTAAATACCATCAGAACAGATACATGCACAAACAGCTAGGACAAGACTGGCCAGTCTTAATCCATACCACTTAAAAATTTACTTTAGGGATCTATTATGGGTTTGCTATTATTGATATCTGTATTTTACTAATTTTATTTTCCAATTTCCTCATTGAAATTGGTTGTTGATTGTGACCAAAAACACTCTCGGGTATGGGGAGTATTACGATAATAATAATACTTTTTAATTTTTATTATTTTTAATGATTTGCACCCATTAATTTTTAAATATATGAATTGTATGCTCAGGCAAACATATCAGAGGGGTTACGGCGCATCTATGTTTTGCAGTCGAGCATACACTCAGGTCAATTTTCACCCAAGGATTTAAAAAGATAGTGAACATTTCATCATGTTAGCAAAACACAAATCAAAATAATAGTCCTCGGTATAGTGACTTTGCTGTGACAGTTTTGTCAGTTTGTCAGGTTTCATATATTTGAGGAACAAACAGGGTACAGAGTACTGTAACATAACCGCACACATCAGCAACAGCTCACCTCTCGTTTTTATTTTTTATTTCACTTTTATTGTTCGCATCATCCCATCGTTGTTATCTTAATGAACGTATTGAGTCTTATCGTTGCATGTTGGTATGACTGAGTCTTAATAGCCTTATCTTACGACTGTATCAATCTTTTGTGTTGTGAATGATTTTGTCTCATTGATGCATAGCAGACCACTTTTTAAAATTTTTTAGAAAGCACTTGAGTTTGGATTTGATGTCATGGCATAAGTTGATCCTCTCTGAGCTTTTACCCTCGAGATTCTTCTGGAATTCTCTTATTGTGTTTTGTATACTATCTGTACATAGAGCTGTAGTTTGTGATTAGTGAACATTCCCTGTCATGCCGTACTCTAGTCTTGCACATACGACCACGTGTGATCACCAGATAAGATGCTGATAATCGCAGGGAGCTGTCGTCCGTAAACATTCTTCTCTTCATCGTATGAAACATTTTAAAAGGAGCTGTAAACGCGGTTAAATTTAACTTCAATTACAGTTCTGTGCTACAAATGTGGATGTTGATGGATGGAGCTTAATCTTTGCAAGAAACCACACAGATTTGTTCCTTTATTACTTCACACTCAGTTCTTGGCATCTTCTGATGATTTCCCCTCTTGCTGTATTTGAGTGTGTTCCTATAATGTGCCAGTTTTTAAGGAGGACATAGACACGCCCACTTGAACATCCATTGTTATTTGTTCCCCCCCAGTCGAACCCCTTAAGCGTGGGCAGGTGTCCTTTTTAAATAAATGCCTTCCTGCTCTCAACTCATGTCTTATTAGCTAAATCCATCTTAGCACCCGGACCTATTTCTTAACATTGAATTTACAGTAGGTGGCTAATGGAGGGATTGTCACAGTAGGCTGCTGGTCCCCTGACCTGCTCCTTGCAAAACCCAGTGCAGAGCACCCCCTGCTGGAGAAAGTGCGACAGTAGTGTCTAGTGTAAGAGTAAGAAAAATAACTTTGCCCAAGAAGTTCTCCACAGAGCCTTTATTTGATGTTTTTGAATACGTTGCCTCAGCTCCAGTGCAGCTGCTGCACTCCAGCCACTTTTGATCGTATTTAATTGCAACACCTAAGAGAAATAAAATCCAGTTAGACAAGATTTCCACAACTCTTCTTTCATTCTGTGTGAAGAATGAGTCTAAAGCCATTCAAATATCTCATTTTAGAAAATGTCTGAATATCACTGAGACTTGACTGACACTTGAATGACACAAAGTACTTTTTGTGACTGATGGGTTACTGTGAATCTAAGCATGCTGTGCAGAATAGAAAGCTAAACTTAACAGATGGTTATTTGCTACTTTTTTAAGAGAAGCCTTAGAAATAAATAGCTGATCTTACTGCTTTTTTTCCGATTGAGACCTTTTGAGTGCACAGATCTTTACAAAGAAATCTCCTGATCATGCCTTTTCAAAAGCAGACCTGGTTACTCTTGAGTCCCACTCTTTAACATATATTTACTTCACTTTACCAGCATCCATTTTCCAGTCAAACCACTTTTTATCCACATATAATGTACAACAATTAAAATTCTTCAGTGTGACAATGTATATCTTATATTTTCCTCTTTTTTTTTTTTATTTTAAACCGGTCCTCTGGATTCCTGAGAATGCTTTAAAATCAAGAGTATTGTATCTAGAAATGCTGTCTATGTCATTCTCCGTTAGCAGTTCGCCAAGGTACAGCTGCAAAATCTGTGAATTGCAACGTCTACGTGTAACAGAGCAGACAAGGTACACTTTACACTGGTGCCAAGAGGCTCAGGTGAATGATTGCAGTGTAACGTTTTAAATGTTAAAATCTGTGAATCATGTCATTTTTGTGCTAAACTTGATGTGGACTTACTTTTCAATGCTGTTGTCATCGAGACATTTTAAATGTATTCATCTTTGGAAATGTATTCTGTATTAATGACTTGATCTGTGGATTGAGGTGGCCTTACAGCAAAAGGACACTCGGACTGTGTTTGCTGTCTTTTCTCCTCTTTTCTCCCTTTTCTCTCTCTATTGCTTATTTGTGTAATGGGATATTTTCAAATGTAAGCGCCCCCTTTCTGCGCCTATATACACACAATCATTTTGTGCATTTTCTTTCTTTTTCTTTTTTTTCTTTTTACATGCTTTTGGAGAAAAAATAAAAGGCTGGTGTTGATTTGATGCCCTGACTTCAGTGTGTTTCTTTATGTTGAGATGGCTCAATCCTTTAATCCCCAGCTGGTTTATTATCCTATGCACCTTCACATACAAAAATTTAAAACAACAATATTTGAGGAGCTTTAACATTTTCAATGCAGGACTTGAATTTATATGATATATTGAGGTTAAGAAGAAAATGTAATTCATCTGATACAATAATGAAATGTATTTATAATAATGCTTATGATAAAGATATTAATAACTTCATTTGTAGTTTTAGTTTCTTAAAGTTACAATATAATTCACAAAACGACAATAACATCAATAGCTATGAAAAGAAGTGCAACTAAATAAACTACATTGAAATGTACAGAAAAAGTACTCACATTCTTTACTTAAGTAAAAGTATAGATACTTGTGTAAAAAAAGACTGGTAAAAGTAGAAGTACTGATTCAACTCCTTTACTCAAGTAAAAGTAAGAAAGTACAGGCTCTGAAATGTACTTAAGTACAAAAGTAAAAATGAATTTTGAACTTCAGTGATACATGATGCCTCTTCTGATAACTTGGCAAAATGAAAAAAGTTGTAGGCAAACAAAATGGGATAATTTTACTCTTTTGTTAACAACCTGCACAGAGCTGGTACGGGGGAAATCACTGGACACAGTCTAGTTTTGCTAGTTTTGCCCCCTCTGGTCTCCTTCAACCCTTACCTGTTCCTCGTTGTCCCTGGTCACACAACTCTCTGGATATCGTCACCGGACTTCCCCCCTTTTGATGGTAACACAGTCATCCTCACTATTGTAGACCGCTTTTCTAAGACTGCTCAATTCGTCCCCTTACCAAACTACCTTCTGCCAAAGAAACTGCTGAGATTATGCTTAATGATGTGTTTTGTTTGCATGGCCTCCCCAGGGACATTGTCTCTGATAGGGGGCCCCAATTTACCTCTCGCTTCTGGGCTGAGTTCTGCAGGCTCCTGGGAGCATCCACCAGTCTGTCCTCTGGGTTTCACCCCCAGTCCAATGGTCAATCGGAATGGATGAACCAGGAGATGGAGACTGCACTGCGCTGTTTCTCGTCCCGCAACCCTTCCTCCTGGTCCAAACAACTCATCTGGGTCGAATATGCCCATAACACACTCCCCAGCTCAGCTACAGGCTTCTCTCCGTTCCAGTGCTCCAGGGGTTACCAACCACCTCTCTTCCCTGAGCAGGAGCAGGGAGCCAGGGTCCCATCGGTCTAGGCCCTTATCAGTCGGTGTCGACACACCTGGATGCAGGCACGCTCCACACTCCTACATTCCTCTGACTGTTACCAGCACAACACCAATCGGCACCATCGCCCTGCACCCTACGCTCCGGGACAGAGTGATTGGCTCTCCACTCGGGACCTTCCTCTCTAGGTGGAAAACAAGAAGCTGGCCCCCAGGTTTGTAGGACCATTCCCCATCTCCAGGATCATCAACCCTGCAGTGGTCTGCCTTCGCCTTCCCCAGTCTATGAGGGTCCATCCCACATTCCATGTTTCCTGGCTCAAACCTGTCAAGGAGAGCTTATATCTCAATCACTCTCTGCCAGATTGTCTAGTGTGTTCCTACCTAGCTATCCTGCGTTAGATTCTGTTCCTGACCTGATTACTACCCCGTTTGGATTTTGGATTCCCTTCTTGCCTGCCCCTTCGGCTTTGTTTGCTATACGGACTGATAACCTGGTTTTGGTCTTTTCTCTGCTCTGTCGGTGAATAAACCACGTTGCCCACACTAGGACTGTCTGTTGTCATGCTCTTGGGTTCAGTTATGTGTGTCTTCCTTACAAGTAGTTTGTGTCATCACATCCACAAGTTAATTTGAAAGTATGAGTCACAATATGAATATTAACTACATCTTCAGATCAAAATGCAGTAATAATAATAATGAGGTTATTCTAGCTGCACTCCGTTTTAGTCTCTCCACCACTTAGTGACTAACTACCTTCACAAAGCAGCGTTTAATACGGACGCAGCGGTTCACCGAGCATGTGATTACCGACAGCTCCTGAAGGCATCGTGACTCACGTCACGTCACAGCCGCTCCGCCCCTCTAATAATATGCAGCGCGCTCCCGTGGAAAAGACTTCGACCGAGTAACAGCGCGTCCCCGCGGCTGCACGGCTCTAATGTGGTTAGTTTAGAAAAAGCGAGACTTAATAAAGCACGCGCAGGGAGCAGACTAACACCTGGAGAACATGGACTCAACCTGCGGGCGATGTTTTCACGCCGCGCTGGAAACGTGAGAAGCGGGTTCCGGTGACAGCGTTCGTCTGTCAGGAAGTTTGACGCGCGCAGCTCAGGAGCGTTGCTTCGCTTTGTTTTGGTCGGTGAAAGTTGGGAGACCACCGTTAGACCACCGGGAGACCACCGTTACATTACCGGGAGCCCCCCCGCCCCCCCCTGCGACTCTGGGACGGTGTCGTTGAAGCAGGAAAAAGTCTGTTCACACTCCAGAGACCGTTTTTAAAGACAGATTTGCTCGGAACATCGATGGAGTTCGTCCAACTTGACTGAAAACATTTCTGGTATTTGTACCAGAAACACTGAGGCCTCAGTTCTTCTTCTTTACTGTTGTTTTAGTCCGTTCTGGCTCCATCGTGTCTCCAACACAGGCCTGTATGTTTTCTTATTTAAGCTGTAATATCCTGTTTAATCATACAAGTGGAGATCTTTACAGGATATAATATTATCACACCTGGGACACAGGCCTGTGTTGTTTTTTTTCTTATTTAAGCGGTTATATCCTGTTTAATTATAAAAGTTCAGATATTCACAGGGTATAATAATATCCCAGATAGTCTTCGTGATCATTTGGATTCAAACCTGTCAACCCAGAGAGGAAAAAGCTGCACGGTTATCAGGAAGAGAGGCCATTAAAATCAAAATCACGGAAAGTGTCGTATCTTTTCCCTCACAGATGGATTTCATACAGGCCACACGGTTGTTGTTGCACCTTTTTCGTTAGTTCTGTTCGTGTGTTCGGACCTGTGGGACACAGTTGTGTGTGAATGAAGCCTGGACATGTGTCGGACAGGCTGCAGAGGAGCAGAGGGGTGGACCTCGGCAGCTGGATCAGTCTGATGTAGCGTTTCTCTTCCTCTGTGTGAAACCTCTCATGTGACCCAGTTCGTGTTTACAACCCGGGGAAGCGTGTTTTTTTTCTTCTCTCTGCTCCAACTTGAAGAGGACGAGCCCCCCTGTTACCTGGAGGGGAGGGGGGGGTGGGGGGGTTGTCAGCCCCTGCCATGGCGTCCTCACACGCACGCGCACCGGTGTGAGAAGACCCGAGGACACCGAATGGACGTGAACTACCCGTGCACCCACTGCGGCTCCGCTCCACTCGGGACAAGTCCCGTCTCGCCCTGAGCCGGGTCGTCAGGGCAACAGGTGAGGACTGTCAGCTGCTGTGCACGTGACAGGGCTGACAGGTATATGATGTCATGCAGCATTCAGGACATGTAGGAAAAACAATGGGACCACGATTTCTTTTAATGAAATCCTGGGGTCCAAATCTTAAACCGCTACACAGGGACACAAAGCAAAGTGTGCAGAATGCATCCTGCAACGAATCATACCTGCATCAGTTGTTTAAAGGTGATGTTTATTCAATGATATGATCATTATGAGGGATAAAGTCTGTGGGGTCGTCATGATACCACAGTTTTGGACTTCAGTAATACACAAGGATAAAAAAATCACATGATACCACTTTAAATACCATGATAAAAGAAAAAAGGTCCTATTGGCACACAAATATACATATATATATATATATATATATATATATATATATATATATATATTATTGTTAACAACCATCATAACACACAATTGTTATTAATTACTTATTGTTACTAGTGGAAAACTGTATTTTTACAATGTGGTTAGTCGTGGTGTGGTGTTGTTGTACTGTAATGTATTATACAGAGACATTACTGTTATTAAGCTTAACATCATTGAAATAAATGGGCTGGTCACAATAATAGATTGATAGAAAAACAAAATGAACATGAAGCAGCACCTCTCTGAAACATTAGAATCACCATGGAGGTTTATTAGAGGTCACTGCATTGATTTGAGCTTTGTGTTCAGAACATTATCATCCTCCTTCATATATTTCACCTCTTCTGAACCTATATATATTTTTATCCGAACCGGCAGAATAACCAGCGTTTCCAAAACTCACACTGAGGTTTTACATAAATATGAGCGGCTTTTTCAGATGGCAAAAATATTCAAACGTGGTGAGTTTCCCTGAATCCAAAGCACATGTGCACCTGAAACAGGAGAGACATCGGAAGGGGGGGGGGTTCTGTGAAGCTCTGAGTTCAGATGCATCACTGGCCAGAGACAGAGCGAGAACTGTGGCTGGGAAAAACAGCCTCAGACTAAACACCTCTCAAAGCAGACAGAGAGGAGAGGGGGGAGGAAAATCCATGTAAATCCTGCAAGTCCTGGAAATATGATACAAGGAAAATAAAGTGGGCACAGCTGACTGGACTGGTACAGTGCAGCCTGCTTCTCCTTCAAATTCCCCACATTCCGCCTGGGAGGTAATTAAAATCAGGAGAGATGAGAGGGTTCTTTAGGGGAACGGACAGAGAGGTTAATTGTTGTTTTTTGACGACCCCTTGAGGCGCATGATTTGAGCGAGTGAGGTTGTTGATCTGATAGCGGGTCCAGCACTCAGTGTACGAGAGAACATTTTGTCGGTGGAGATTATGGTTCTACGTTACCTGAAGGGCATACATCCATGCAACTAGTGGTTGGAACTGCACACCTCATAAACTCCATACTATTTAGCAGGGGATGAAAATGCCATGAGCGTGAAGTCCTCAGGGTTGGAGGACAAAAGTGTTTGGCGCCCACTCCGTTGGCAGGGGAACATGAGAGTGGCGGAAGCTTGAAAGCAACATGGCAACGGTCTCCTGACCACAGTCGGACGTGCCCAACATTCCTGTGGGTGATTATTACCTTGAAATCCAAAGAGTCAGTGTGTTGCCTCAGGTGCTGATGCTGCCCCTTTCATGCTCAGAAGTCGTTTCCAGCTTCCCCAGCTGCTCTCTTCTTGTATCGTCTCACCGGTCCTCAGATCTCAGGCTTCTGCAGCCTCCATCCTCAGACAATGTCTGGTCTTTCTCTGTGCCGTTCTCTTCGTCATGTTCACATTGGAAAGTAAACTTGTCACTTGTTTTCCATGTTTACCAAGCACCTCACCACAGAGCTACCGTAGCTGGATTGACTTGCTATAATATATTTTCTAGGAAGGAGGAGGTGAAGCACTTGCTGCATGTGTGTTTTCCTAATTTTCTTGTTGACCTTTTAGAAATTATTGACCAGGAAGTTCTGCTGGAGAGGAATCTTGTGTGAAAATGATGTTTTTTGACTCATCAATATAAAAATAGCATGATTAAAGCACATGCTTTGCCCCAACAATGTTTTGCTACGGGATCAACCACTGTAAATTGAATGGATATTTATACAGAGCTTTTCCAGTGTTATTGAGAATGCAATGTTTTTTACTGCACAATTCACATTCACACACAAAATGATTCAGTGCTTTTATACTCAGCGCTTTGTCTATCACACACCATTCACACACGGTCCACACAGCTGTCAGGGGGGATTTGGGGTTCAGGATCGTCCCCGAGGGCACTTCAGAATGCAGACTGGAGTTGCCGGGGATCAAACCACTGATCTTCTGTCTATTTTCCGAGCCACAGCCACCTCCATGAGTATATAAAGAACCTCAATAATATCTGTCCCGATACTGATCTTACTAAGCAGATCAAGTGTCGGCCAAATGCGACAGATCATTGCATGCAGTTTCTTTATCGTCGTCAGTTGCATTAATTTTGGCACAACAAGCTGCCAAGTCAGCTTTTAAGGCCACAGCAATCCCTGAGAGAAGGGGCAACAGATTCAGGATCAGTATGAGCATGAGTTGAGGTACTGGAGAAGGGAAGAAAAAGCATAAGTGCATCTCTGGTAGAGAAGGCATTCAACTGTTTTAAGCCTTTTCATTTAAAGGAAAGTCAGTCAAATGTCCTTTACAAAACAATATTCAGCCATCATCATCTGGTTTATTTGTAAAAACTCAGTTCATGTTTAAGGACATCAAAGTCACAAGAAGACAAGTCCTGTTTTCATCTTGATTTATGATTTTCATGATTTATTGGTCTAAATTTGGGGGAAACCCACTCCATTGAAGGAAATGCCTCAGTTTATAATGCCATTGACGCCTTGAACAGAGCAGGTGATGTTGCCCTGCTCGCATCAACAATGGAGTTATAACACACTTGAGTCTGGTTTCTGCAGCTCGTGCAGTCAGAGTACTTTAAAGCTGGTAGATATTTAAAACAGCAGAAAAGTCAGCGTTAGAATTCATTCTTCCCATGTGAGCTGTGCCAGACCGAAGTCTGCCAGTGTAGTTTGAGTTTCAGCCGTTTCCAATTGTCATTCTTTCTCATGGGCAAAACACACAGCGCACATTCTCTCATGTGCTGCACATTCTCATTCACTCTGGCCCTGGATCAAATGTGAAAAAGTCCAATGCTGTAAATGGAAATTAGGCTCTCTGTTTTGCATCACAAAACATTCTAACATGTAAATTAATTACAGAGATACCTTTTAAAGTAAGGGCACAGGACAGCACTTTACGACAAAAATGAAAACACAAATAGAACCCGTATATATATATGTATATATAACTTGAATTAAGACAATGAATGTTGACAGAATGCACATCTCTGCTTCGTTTATGCCATAAAATAAAAGTTACCATATCCACAAACATAAATGCTGTGAAACAATCATATTGTCTGATTATTGGGCTCTACTGGATACTATGATTACATTTTTCATATTTTTCCAACCTCAGTATTTTATTGATGTTTACACAAAGTTGATGTTTAATTGATACTTGCATTCTGACAAGTTTCGTGAGACTGGCTGACAATCTTGGTCTTATGTCATCTCCCATGTGACTCAGAGAGCCACAATACTCACATTCTTGTCTCTGAGCAATAAAATATTAACAAGAACGATCAGTTCTTATAAGTTTATTAATAACCACTTTCTGTTTTTTTTATTTCTACAGGCTGTGGGACAGCAGAGACAAGTTTCTGAGGGCCTGTTCGGGGACCATCATACACAAACTTTGCCACAATGAGTAAGTTATCTGAATTCTGCTGTTAGACATTTGCTGCATGGTTTCCTCACAGTGTGAGATAAAAACACACACACACTCACACCAAACACAATCCCTGAGGCCTGAGGCCAAAGCCTGTGTGCGCGCTGCTGTTGCAGATACAGGATTGGTTTTCAGTGTTGTATAGATGGGGTCTGGATCTCTCCACTGCTCTGTGGCTGTATGAAGTCTGTCCAAACTACACAAGGAGAATATTTTCTCTCCCTGAGTTTGTCCAGCCAAGGCAGAGGTTGCCCTGAAATCAAACGTGGGAACAGGCACATCAAAAACACTGCAATCCTTCCCTGGCTCTAATAGCATGTCATGGGATAGTCTCAATATGGCTTTAGTTAAAGATATCTGACTAATTGTCTCCACTCACCTTTAGTGCAGAGCTAAGAGCTTCTACCTCTCTCTTTCTCTCTCTCCCTTTCTGTCATAATTACACACTCAGATCATCCTTTTTCCAATCTGTACTCTAATTGTTTATTTTTTCCCATTGTATTATCCTCTCCAGATGAGAGGCAGGCCCTCCACTCTATAATGAAGGACTTGGTTGCCCTCCAGATGACGAGGCGCCAGCCAGTGTTGTCGTACGACAACAGCAAACCCAAGTTGCCGGCTCAGACCAACAGACAGGTACTGTTACAGTTTAAAGTTGTGTTCATAAACCATGATATGAACCTGGGAACAATAGAATAATGGTTCACTAAAGTCATAAAACTCAGTTACAATTAAGGCTCAAACCTCTTGGTCCTAAACTTTTACAATAAAATTAATCTCTACAGACATTTCTCCATGAACAGCTGTGTGTTGTTGTTGTTTGTACTGTCCCTCAGCAACACAGTGTGTCCGCGCACTGTCAGAATAAAAGCCTGAATAAGATCACAGTCCCCAAGTCCTAAATCACATTCAGATTGATAATGTTAATTTGTGTTATAACTTGAAAAGGTTGACATGCTGTAATGTCTGTCAGTTTGTGTTGCTGCAGCTCCTCTTTTCTGATAAAGCCTGGGCTGCTCTGATTGGGCAGCTTGCCCACTCTGTTTGATTGGTCAACTGTTTCTCATGCGTGTAGAAAATGTCAGCCTCTGCTCTTAGTTTACTTGGCATGTGACATCATAATGCTCCACATGTGCATAATGAAGGAAGTATCGGCCGGACGACTGTCGAGGTGTTTCAGGAGCTTCAGTGTTTTCTGTTTTCCACTGACTTTGGGCTTTTTAACTTAGCAGAACTTTTACATCCACAAAAAAAATATTCAACACACTAGAGGAAAGAAAAACTGCATTATGTCCCCTTTAAGAAAAAGATGGAAGAGTGATGAAGAGGAAAGTCTTCTGTCCACATTTTAAATCTTCAGGTGTCCATTATGTGGGAAAAACAAACCAGGTGAGATTTGCAGCGTTTAGGTTGTGTCTAATATGAGTGATGGTGAATTTCTGGAGGGTCTGAAAAACTGCCTAAGTATTTTTGTTTCCTTATGACTGTGGGTGTGTCGACTAATGAATTTTTATAATGGATAACTCTACTTGGAAGTGTAATTTGGTATCACCAGTTCAGAAATATTCTCATTGCTTATAGAATTTCCTCTGGCCCACACAGTTCGCTAATTTAGCATAATGACAGATGAATTTCCGAAGTAGCCACCCACAACTCTGGGACCCCTTCATCTGAAACAGATTAAATCCAGTTATTTTCAACTACTCTCTCTAAAAATATATATTTTGCTTGTATGGAAAGTGGCCAGTAGCCCACCCACCCTTGCATTTCACCAGTATCATTGAGTCGCAGCCACAGAAAATAACCATTACAGAAATTCATGTGCTTGGTAGTATTTTCTTAAAACCAGAGACTGTTCCCCAAGAATAACATACTCCACCGTTTCACTCGCTTTACAAAGCTTGTTTGTGCTCGTTACGAGTGGAAGTGGGTTTTCGGTAATGATGAAGCAACGAAAGAAGCATAAAGGGACGCAATTATTGAGTAAGACCTACAGGAGAAGACATGACTTGTGGAAGGCAGTCTTAAGTAATTCAGCTCCCCAAACTAATTGAGATGTATTCTTTTGGAAGAATCACCTAAGAAGGTTTATTCAAATCTTGGTCTTTCTGTGTGGATTTTGCATCTTTTCCCCGGGTACTGCAGCTTCCTCCGCAGTCCAAACAAAGACATAAGCCTGCTCACACATATTTGAAGAGAATATTGTGAGTTAAAGTCAATGGTTGAGCTCCACGCAAAGCCACGCTATGATTTGGTTCACCACTGGAAGTGAATGTTTTATTCGCCTCTTTAAATGAACCGGGAGGCCAAGGTTTGCCTCTGATGCATTTGAGTATGTTTGACCAGGTGACCAAGTGTGAAACTGTCGGACGCTTGTCTCTGTATCTTGGCTCTGCGATGTCCAGGCTTTACGCCTCACGCTCAATGTCAGCTGGGATTGGCTCCAGCTCCCAGCGTTAGGATAAGCGGTGTGGATAATGGATGGGTTTGCGGTGAAGTTACTGGAGTTCAAATATCAGCACAGTCTATCTTATCTGTCTACTTCTGATGACCTCCTGTGTTCACGTCTTGACCTTTCTGCTTCTGTTTTCCCCCAGGACGATGTCAGGATAAAGTTTGAGTTCTCAGGAGAGAGACGGTGAGTTTGTCTCAGGCTTTCTTTACATGCAGGTTACGTCTGTGTAGGTATTCTACATACATGCATGTGTACGGTATATCCATAAGTGAGTGAGAGAGAGCAGAAACACACACAGAGAGACAGACATAAACATACTCACGCACATGCTGTTCTTGTCACATGTTCCAGTTTATGAGAAACGAGCACATCTAAGAATCAAACACAGACTCCAGCCTTTAATTCAGACTGGTATGTGAGCTGGAGAACACAGAGGAAAGGACTGTGGTTACTCTGCGGCTGCCAGTACAAACTACAAATATGCAAGGTGTACTGAGAGGAATCTGCTCTCTCTGAAAACAGCAGCCCGTGTGTACTTTGCTTGCATGTGTGCATGTAACTCAAAAGCAGTTTCCTGAGCAGCCGCTGCAAAGCTCTCATAATGTGTCTGTCTGTGTGATTTCTTCATTTCTTTTTACGTGTAGGATCTTGATGTTTGGACGGCCTGTGCAGTTTGAGGAAGTCCAGCAGAAGGTTAAGACTGTGTTTGGGCAACAGTTAGACCTGCATTATATGAACAATGAGGTAAAGTGGAGACTCAGTGGCAAACAAATCTTATATAGACCATCGTTTTCATATATTTTGATATTCTTTTCTCAATTAATATGTTATCCTATTAGATGTCTAATAAAATATTGTGATAGGTAGATATTCCGTGGCAGTTTCCTTAAGTCAAAGGTAACATCTTACTGTCACATAAGACAAAGAAAAGTTAGAAATCCTCATCTGCGAAGCTGGAATCAGTAAATGTTTGGTATTTTTCAATCAAAATAGATTTGAAAACATATTACAACAACTAAAACAATGAAAAAGTACAAGAAATAGTCACCAAAATGGGATAAAAGCACATAATAACAATGGACAGAATTTTTAAAATTAAAATTAACTTAGATAAATGCAATAAAATATTGTCCATAAACCACATGTTTTGTGCGAGTGTTGATGTGTTGGACTTGTATCGTGGCAGTTGTCCATCCCTCTGCGAGACCAGGACGACCTGGACAAGGCAATCGACCTGCTGGACCGAAGCTCCAACATGAAGAGCATAAAGATCCTGCTGCTCACTCAGGAGCATGGCAATGTGAGACACACACACACACACACACAAACACACACACACACACACACACACACACACACACACACAAACTGGGCTTGGATTCACAGTGTACAGTTACACCACTGCCATTTCTTCATTGCACTTCATTGCACTGAAGTGAAAAATCCAGGTTCCTCTTTCATATAAGCTGACATGAAGCCATAGTTTCATCATGTGTTTGTTCATGTTTAAACTTTTTGTCCCTTCCCCCCATCTCTGAACTCTAGGTCTCCTCCCCCTCCCACCATGTGGCATGTAAACAGGTGAGGATCAAGTCATCTCAATCCACTGGAGATGTTAGCGCGGTGTACCAATCTGCTGAGCCCAGAGGACGCCACCTATCAACCGGTACATATCTTAAACTGTGACTAAATGTCCTCACTTTTCAATGGTTGGTCTTTCCCAAACTATTGAATGAATACCCGAAACTGAAACTTGCAGTTTTTCTCCCTATTCCACTGCATCAATTTTTACTCCAGGTTTGTACGTATAAATGATGATCTGAATAAAGTTCAGAACCATTGAAACTTTGTGGATGGACACCTGCACTCCTATTGCAGTCTTTTCTTTCAGAGTTGAGTTTACACCATAGGGTTCCCACCTATCTTTTCAGACATTTACCCGCACATTTGTGATCTTGCAAATCACAAGATTTTGGCAGCATTGTCCTGCAGCTCTGATCTAAACTCCTACACTAATGACATGAAAAAAGTTGGGATCCTGGAGGCAATGGCGCCTAAGAAGCCTTAACATAAATATAGTAAATATTAATTTATAGGCAGCTGTCATCTGAGCGGGCCTTTGCCGCTTCTTTTTTACTACCTCAGTTTCCTTCTCTCTCTCTCTCTCTCTCTCTCTTAGTCTCTCTCTCTCTGGCTGTTCTTTCTTTGGCTTCCCCTTCTAGCAATGGGTCCTCTTCCTTTTCCTGTTCACCATCACTAGACGATGCCTGCTGGACAGCAGCCAATCAGATTACGGAGCTCTATTAGTGTGGTGGACCAGTGGCCTGGTCCACCACTAGGATCTTTATTTTTTTTCCCTAGAGTACTGGGGGGGGGGGAGGTCAAAGTGGCTACAGGGGAGTTTGAGTTCAGAACTTCATGACAGCATCAGGCCGTAAATATTATAACTATAAAGATCTCAGCCGTTACTCCAGTCAGGACTTTATGTTTATTTCTTCTTTGACACACTTTAAAAGACTTATTTCATGGATCTGTGTTTGAATTGAGTTATCTGTGTGGTTGCTTTGTGCAGCTTGTTCTTCCTGTAAAATAGAGCATAAATCTCAACATGGGCCCATTAGTTTCAATAATGATGCAAAACCTTTTCCCTCTCAGATAATCATATAATCAACAGATGTTTTAAAGCACATTGTTGCTGCAATTTCCATTCACTTCTCAGTCCTTTTGTCTGTAAAATACAAATATTGTTTGAATTTTATTTTTCCTACATCTGATTTCTTCTCTTTTATGCTCATCACTGCTGTCTGATCCCAGGTTCTCAGAACACGGGGCGTAGCTCGCCGCCTCCTGGCTATGTGCCCGAGCGCCAGCAGAGGATTGCCCGCCAAGGTTCATACACCAGCATAAACAGTGAGGGGGAGTTCATCCCAGAGACCAGCGATCAGTGTGTGAGTCATAGCTTCACAATTAATGGGGAAAGTCCGCCTTACGATGTCGAGACTATTAAAATTTGTTCACATAAACAACTCGGCCTCAACAGCTTGAATCAGGACCTTTTCTGGACTGTGAAGTTGTTTTGCTCATCAAAAGCTTTACAGGCACTGGAAGTTGTTTAGCTGATTGTGGCTACATTTATATGCAGGAATGATAAGAGTTGTACAACTGTAAAACTAGGCATCGACTGAGGCTCCAGACTTATTCATTTGTACCTTTGCTGCCATCAAAGCTATTTTAGAATTAATTAAATATTCGGTTCATGCTCCCAAAGTTTCCAAATATCTATTTTAGGACAGACTCTTCCTCCCAAAACATGCACACACACACACACACACACACACACACACACACACACACATAGACACACACACACATACACAGCTGTCATTTTCCATTGTGCCCTGTTCAGGTGCTGGATCCCTGGAGCAGTGCAGAAAACTCTGTCTCTGGAAGCTGTCAGTCTCTGGACAGCAACTCAGACAGGTGAGGATCAAACGCTGCCCGCCAACATTAATACTTGCACAAGAACTCACTGCTCATTTCATGTTTTATTTATTTGTGTTACTTCCTCTATGTCAATACCCAAATACGATCTGTGGAAATGGCTATTTTACTTTGGAAAACCACTCAACATCTTTCATACTTCTTTCTTACTCTTTTTCCCTGGCAGCCCGTCATTGAGGAAATCTCGCATGCACAGAGCTAAAAGTTACCCTGATAATCGTCAGGAGTGCTCAGGTGAGAGCAGCTACAGTCAAAGATTCTTCCAATAGCACCATCCTTTAACTTAAAGCCAGTAATGAAGCAGTTATATCTATCTGATAATTCCAGGAATCTACGTCTGTCTGTTAGTGGAACACATGCTTTGAGAATCATTAATGTTTTCGGCTTCACACTTGGGATGTGTAATGTTAAAGTACCAAGGAAGTGCAGTCTCAACTTTGGTGAAACATTCAAAACAAATACAATTTGAATAAACAGATGACAAGTGTGCTGCTGCAGCGCACAGGTTATATTGGTGATCATTTTAAAATCAACAGGCACATTCATGTGTTGCAAAGATTTACTCATACTCGAGATAAAGACATTGATACTGTTGTGAAAGATCATTTTCACATCACAAGTTATTTTGCTGTGAACCGTATGGGTACACAGAGAAAAATAGGCGAGACTCTAAGTCTCTAGAAGAGAGACACAAGCATGAATAATAGTCCAGCCTCTGCTTTTAAACATCTGAGAATACAACATAACTGATTTGATAAAGAATCCTGCTCATGATCTTCAGTGTTTGCCTGTAGTGACCTCGGAGTTTACACAAGCAGTGTTTAAGCAGCTGAAAGCTCATGTGAACAGTATTTTCAATTTAATTATAAGCCGTAAGGGAAAGTCATAAAGTAGCTCACATGAATGCTGTGTGACTCACCGTGCAACTGAGCTAAACTGGTTGAATTACAGAGTAATCCTGCTGACCTTTGACTTGTGGATGTTTGCCTTCAGACAGGGAGAATCATGTGTATGACAGGGTAGCTGGAAAGGGTGGCACCTATCCTCGTAGGTACCACGTCTCCCTGCATCATAAGGACCACAGCGAAGGTAAGATGTCTCCATATATCCACTATGTACCTTGTCTCATGTGTTCCCTCTCTCTGTGGTATTTCCTCGATTAATCTCTCCCGTTCATCATGGGACATTCCTCTGAGCCAGCCTCTTTTTTGCTCTCCCGCAGGTCGGCGGACATTTCCACGGATTCGCCGCCCCCAGGGGAACCTGTTCACTCTTGTGCCTTCACGTCGGTCTCTCAACGGCAGCGAGGAGAGTCTGGGCAGCTGGCAGCTCGTCGATGCCCAGGGCAGGCTCCGTCCCCAGGATCGTTCTGTTGCCCATAAGTGTGAGCGTTGATCTAAAGTAGCTGTTTCTCAGAAAATACACTTTACTTTTTAGGATGACAAGAACTCTTTAGAAATTAGGGTTCAAGAGTAAATACCAATGCTAATATTTTCTAATTTAAGCCACTGATAATCTTATATTCAATTACAACCAAAGTGTTTAAATAGTAGGTCAGTGAAAATTGTGCTACTGATTCCAAGTAGTAAAATAATTAAAGCTGAAAATGGGAGGAAAGATGCAGGAAAGGAGGAATTTAAATGGATTCCTCTAGCTGTACAATTCGTAATTAAAAATGCACATCAGGTTTAAAGAATACTTTGGAAAGTATATTTGTTTGGGCTTATTGTAATAAGATAAGAATAAGATGAACTTCTTACATCTCATAGAGAGACAAATATGGGATATTTTAAGCCTAACCACAAAGTCTGGTAAAAAAAACTATTAGCATGTGAGGAAAGTGTGTCCATGGGTAAAAGTGAAGATAATGCTTTGTAATGATTTGTCTTTTTTATTATTACTTCTCTTTTTATTTGTAAAACATAAGTGAACAGCTTGTGTTTTTTTTCGCAGCACCCAGCGCTCCAGTAACATGGAGGCGGGGGAAGCTCCTGGGCCAGGGGGCGTTCGGACGGGTTTACCTGTGTTACGATGTGGATACTGGGAGAGAGCTGGCTGCCAAGCAGGTCCAGTTTGATCCTGACAGCCCTGAGACAAGCAAGGTAAGATGCTTGCTTACATGGAGTATCCATTCTAAACAGGCAGGTTTCTTTGGCCTTGGTGATGCCGGTAGCAGTTTTCTTCATGAAACTCTTGTTTATTTAAAGTTTATAATGTTAAACATATCAAATCATACCAAATTCTACATTGCACTTCATTAGGCCCTAACTAATACACATGTTGAGTGTTCAAAAGATAATAGATGGATGCCTCAAAATGATCCTTGTTATTACAGAAACAGCATGTGCAGCTTCACTTTTGTCCTCCTGAAAATCTCAACCCAATTCTACTTTTGCTTTGGACATTACCGCTCAAACAAAACTATTGTTTGTTTTGCATTTAGATATTTTTTTTTTTTCACAAAGTTCACAGCTTATCGTCAGGAAATGGCATTCCATCAATATTTTCACAGTTAACAGTAACTCATCTCTCGAACCATTACAGTCAAATATTAAACCTTAGGTTGGTTATTAATCAAATCACACATTTGCACAATAAGAATGATCTCATGGGTTGTGAATGTTAAAGTGTTGGAATGTACGTAGTTAGCATTACTTAGTTTTCCTCAGAAACTAGAATGAATCAGTTGACTTATGCCAAGGTCCAACTCTCCACAAATTCTGCACCAAATCTGTCATGTTCTTTTAAAGATGCATACAAGCTGTTGATTCCCTCCTGAATCCACATTATAACATGTGAACAGCGGCTAAAAAAACCTACCCCTTTATGAAACCACATTTAAATCCGCTAGATCCTGACTTTTATTTGGATCTGCACCAAATTGCACACATATATCATCAATATCAGTCCCCTATCTATGCCTGATTTTTCACATCAAGATCCAGGTCTTATTCTCTGGGAAATAGGGGGCAAAAAATGCAATGTTAATTCAAACACAGAAAGTGGAAGTTCAATAGTTTTTGTGCAATCCTACTGACAGTCACAGAGACAGGGGTGAAAACACAACCTCCTTGGAGGAGGTGATAGTCAAAGCACAGGAAAATAAAAAGTCAATAACCCATGAAGAGGAATGTATTGAAGAGGTTATCTGTCCTCCCTCTGCCTCCATTTTAATGTCTCTTCCTGTCTGCTGCAGAGAAAACATGTACTGTCACTTCCTGTATATGTGTGTTGTGTTGGTGGTTGAGGAGGGCGACAGGTCAGCGTCGCCTTGGCCTTCCATCACCCTGCCACCCACTTACACACACACTCACTCGCTCCCCCAGTTTATAGCAGATGTGAATTAGTTGTTGTTTCTGTCAAAGCAGCTTCTGTTTTGGGAGTTGGAGATGACTGAGTTTGCGTCTCTCTCTCTCTCTCTC